GGTAATTAACATAGGCAAAGCCACTGAAGTATAAATGTCGACATTAGGGTAGCTGTCAAGCAGGAAACATAGAAGGAGCCCTTGATGATGGCTGTGAATATGTCCAGAAACAATATGGCAGAATAGCAGTAGGTTGAGAACACCAGGAAAGCACGTGTCCAGGCTAGCCTGTTTTGAATAAAGGCTTTGGAATCAATCTTCAGTCTGAAGACCAGTAAGAAATCACAGTCTCTCTCCTTAATTGCAGTTATGGAAAATGCAGGAAAACATTTCAACCTAAAATGCTAATGTTCTTTCAGCCATGACTGTGTCTGTGCACACTAATCACTTTCAGCAGTTGCAAATATGAGGATGGAAGTTTTCCACCCAGCACTGATAAAATCCAAATTGACAATCTGTTTAAAAATGGTTATTTGGACCAGATTCAGTGCCTATTCAAAGAAATGGGTGAGGAGGATGAGAGTTACACATAAAATAATGATTGCATGGCCTTTAAAGATATTTTATTATGTATAATGCATTCCAAAGCAGAAATGTGAAAGATGACAAAATCCATTATTCATTGTTTTTTCATATTCATACAGATAGGACTATAATGAAAATTGGTCTTCTGCCATGCATAACTGTGAGTCCTACAGTAATAAAACAAATGTTTTCTAGGACCAGGTGATTTATATGCAAAAAACATCTTTACAAAGCAAATTTTGTCTAAAAAACAAGGCTCTTATTTTTAAAGGAGCCATGCTGTATTGCCAAGACTATTGGGTTGTTTATTGATGTTTATATCAGATAGATCTCAGGAAACTTAATTTTAAATTGTACTAATCCTCAATAAGTGTTTTAATTTATATTTATTCATGTTAAATAGAGGAAAAACCCTTGTTCTCTTTCAGTGGGCCAAGAACAATCATTCAGAGCTGAACAATAGAAAACGTGGAAAGTATTGTTCTTTTCAGGTATTCAGCTGGTTAAACTTTGAAATCTGAGTATTAAGCATAGCAAATATAAACTCATTGAATTTCTGAATTAAGCAGTGAGTATTTTCATTTGATTATGTTCAGGAAACAGTTTAAAATATTAGTTGATAGGTAACTATTTTAATGGATCCATTGTTTTGAAGTAGTTATGATCTGGTAGAACACTATACTCTACACAGTGGAATCTAATAAGGAATAGCTTGGAAAGAACAGTTTTTATCTTGCAGTGGAAAACATTATCAGTGCAATTTTTATTGTATGTCTAAGGCATTTTGGTATTGTCTAACTTTAATGATTTAAGAAAACCGTAGGTACTAACTGCAAAGACATCAGAATTCCAGAAGTGGGTAAAAATGGTAAGTTGCACCTGAACATAATCACTTATTAAACTCAGAGTATGTTTAATAAGTGAGCTGAGAATTAGCTTTAAGTGTGAATCTAGAGGAAGGAATATAGTGGTAGGCTCCTAGGCCAGAGTTGTCAATGCTTAGTTATGCCATGGGCAGTTAGCATTAACTGATGGAAGACGCATGATTCTTCTGACAGCGGTATCTATCATCAGTGTGTCGTGCTGTTTGGAGAGTAGGTTAATTGAAAATAAGAGAAATCGTTGCACTTCATTTCTTGAATTATCTGACCTCATTTAGGAAACTAATATACCATTTATCCTAGTAATAAATCAATATGCATGGTTGTCCATAAATGTGAGGCACTTTCCAAGGGAGAAAATAACCTCTGGACATGTTCATTAACCGTAGACAGAATCATTTAAGCAATTAAAGTTGTTGAAGTTGACTTTTCAAACCCCAACCTGTAGTGACACCAGCAGCTACTCGGCTGCTGAATAAAAAGGGTGCATGTATGGGCTCTCACACACTCTCTCCCTGCCACATATACACAAATATGAAATTAGTAGATTAAAGAGTTCAATTATTATTTAATCACCATAGCTGTGAAGCCTAGAATTATAGAATTGACAACATAAAAATAACCTGATCCAGTCTCTTAATTGTATAGATAGCTGGACACCTGTAATGCCAGCACTTTGGGAGGCTGAGGCAGGTGGTCCCTTGAAGTCAGATGTTCGAGACCAGCCTGGTCAACCTGGTGAAACCGCATCTCTACTAAAAATACAAAAATTAGCTAGGCCTGGTGGCACACACCTGTAATCCCAGTTACTTGGGTGGCTGAGGCATGAGAATTGCTTGAATTCAGGAGGTGAAGCTTGCAGTGAACTGAGATCATGCCGTTGTACTCCAGTCTAGACAACAGAGTGAGACTCTGTCTCAAAAAAAATGATAAAATTAATATGAGTTAGATTACCAATTGCCTCTTAAGAAATAGGTGCTCCATAGTTGTTTATTGAGCATAATTGTTCAAGACATCTACATGCTTCAGGAGTCTGGTTCTGTCAAAACCCTGGTTTTAACTTTCTTGCACTTCTGTTTAAAATAGAAATTGCCTTAACCACAGACAAACCAAACAAAAAATAATCATGTAACTGAACTGAATTGGAGAATAGAAATTAGAGACAGAAGCCTCTCTGCGTTGTAGGAAAGATGGATAGGTAAGTGGGAGCCCAGGATAGGTAAATGGGGATGCAGGAGAAAGTGGCTCTGTCTCCCAGTGAATCAGGAATTACCACAGAAGCTGTGAGAGCTAAAGGGTTACAGAGGAAAAGTACCAAGCAGATCAGAGAAAGAGACACCTCTAGGGCCTCTTCCTTCCCCTTGGGTAGAAGATTAAGTCACACTTGCAAGGAACTGAGAAGTCTACCTGATCTCGTTGCTGTTGCCATTGTAAACCAGAATAAAGCCCAAGTAGCTTGGCTGAGCATCCACCAACCTTAGCACTGTCGCCCACACCGATTCTCAGAACAAGCAAGAATAGTCCCAAAGGAATGTCGTAGGAAGGAGTTTATGAAGACATCTGTAAGAATAAAAACCTAGCCCTGTTTCTTTTCGTGACTAGGATTCATATTAGAGAGTACTTATAAGTACCTACTCTAGTGTAAGAGGTAAAATTAAGTCCTTACAAACCCAGAAATAATTTTATTCTTCACGCTTAATCTCCCAATTTATATCTCAGTACAAATGTTACATAGAACAGTTACATATCAGGGACTAAATAATAGAGTGATTACTTTCTGTTCAATATAGTTAAAATCTCTCTTTTTTAAATAGTGGTAATAGATAAAAAGAAGCTACTAATTTTTTTTTTTTTTTTTTTTTTTTGGAGATGGAGTCTCACCCTGTCACCCAGGCTGGAATGCAGTGGCGCAATCTCGGCTTATGGCAATCTCTGTCTCCCGGGTTCGAGTGATTCTCCTGCCTCAGCCTCCTGAACAGCTGGGACTACAGGCATGCACCACCACACTGAGCCAATTTTTTTATTTTTAGTAGAGATGGGGTTTCACCACATTGGCCAGGCTGGTCTTGAACTCCTGACCTCATGATTCACCCACCTCAGCCCCCCAAAGTGCTAATTTTTAAAATCTGTAATGCTGCTCTGGCTTCTATACGTCTCTCCCTCTTACCTGACTCCAGCCACTCACACCTCCTCGCTATTCTGTGAACACATCAGGTTGGAAAGAGCATGATGGATAACGCCTTTGCCTTGCTTGTTTTCTCTGGCTTGAATATTTTCTCCCCATCTGTCTTTAAGACTAGCTTCCTCGTCACCTTTAAGACACCTTCTTAGGGAGGCCTGCCCTGGCCTGGCCTCTCTGTGTACTATGATAATCTATCTCCCCCAGCAACCAGGACTCCTCACCCTTCTTATCATGATGGCTTCTTTTTCTCCTATAGCACATTTTTACCTTCTACTCTAAGAGATTATTTACTTAGATTTTTTTGTCTGTTCTCCCCCACTAGAATATACAATTTCCGTAAGAGCAAAAATATTTGTTTAGATTGCTTACTTATCCTCAAAGCTTAAAACTGTCTGGAGCATAGTAAATGCTCAATCACTATTTTTAATGAATAAATGACCATATGAATATTGGCTTTTCGAGATAAAAATTTAGGTTTACTCCCCCAGATTTAACGTACATGCTATGCTTTTTCATATTCAGGATCTGTTCATATGTCAGTTTTTAGATATGCTCTTTGTTTTCATGCTCTGACTCCCCTAGAGAGAGTGATTCAAATAAATCTGGGGGAGAATAAATCTAGATGAATGGTCTATGAGGAATAGTCCTCTTCCTCCAGAGGCTTCAAATAGAACAACATTAGGGTCGGTCTTGGCATTTAAGTCCCAAAGAAATTCAGGCTTATGTTGAGAGAGATACACAGATAAAAGTATGAGTAAAAGAGAGACTATATTTCTAAGCAACAGAAATCCCATATCACAACAAACCATGTCCAGATGGTCAGGAAATAATATTAGAAAAAAACAATCTTTTCACTGAGGCCAAGATGAGGGTCCTTCATAGATGCCACACTCTGGTCAAAGACACAACCAATACCTTCCAAAGCTTCAGCCATTAGTAGTCAGAGAAGTGGTCCCGTTTAACCTGCATGTTGCCCCAAAGATTGTCCTAAAGTTCAAATCCAAGTAGTGCCCTTCTTTGCTTGAAATCCTGTAGTGATTTCTCCCATAGCGTCAAATTCTTTGGCTTGGTACAAAATACTCTTTATGATATGGTCTCTGTCCTGGCATTGATCACATTCTTGGTAATCACTGATGTCCTCCTATCTTCTGGGTCCCTGAAGAAGTACTTTGCCCCTTTTGCCATGATGACACAGCTAGAAGGCACCACCTATTAACCAGGTAATGGGCCCTCACCAGATACCAAATCTGGCAGAGCCTTGATCTTGAACTTCCCAGCTTCCACTGATCTCCTGTGTGTCTCTTGCAACACATAATGGACTTCCAGAGGATACGAGTTATACCTTATTCATACCTTATTCATCCTCAGGGCTAGGCTTATGGAGGTTCTCAGTACTGGTTCAGTGGAAAATGGCTAAATGGAAATGTGATGTTGCTATACTCTAATATGGCTGTGTTTTTTCTTTCCTCAAGGACTTCGGCATTATGTTCCTGCACCACCTTGTATCTATTTTCTTGATTACCTTTTCATATGTCAACAATATGGCCCGAGTAGGAACCCTGGTCCTTTGTCTTCATGATTCGGCGGACGCTCTTCTGGAGGTAAAAGTTTTCTTTCATCTTTAAAAATACAAAATCCAAAATTTAGGAAGTCCCCAATCTCACTACCTCTTCAATGTTATGCTAGATGGTGCTTGTGTACAATAGTAAATAACTGCATTGAAACTGCAGAGTGTTTTTTTGTAGGTTAAACTGGTGAAAATGAGATATTAAATTAGTATGTAAACTTTTATACAAAAAAATTAACATTGTTAATAGAATGATGAAAACCCTTACTATTCTACACTTAAAAAATGAGTAATTTTACAAAGGAAAAATCATTAATTGATTAGGTTTTGTGTGTTGTAACCTTTACCCTAATTTATTGGGAAATTTTGTAAAACTCAATTTAGTTACTAATAGGAGCTATACATCCCAATAAAATTAAGTAGGGGTCATCATTTTTATTGCTAATACACATTGTCCTTATATTTTTACAGTGAAAAGGGAATATGAATTGCAAATTTTATGGAGAAACTATGTTTATATATATGTATAAAGAATATCTCTGGAACTATTGGTTATACTTGAATTAACTTTCTAAATTATTATTATTTAGAATTCTTAAAGTAGTAAAATAAATAAAAAATGTTCTAGCATATTTCAAAAGGTAAAATCCCAAGGAAAATTGTGATGCGATATTTACTTTTAACTATGGCTCCTGTGAAGATCATACTCAGTAATGTTATATAATTAAAGTCTTTGCATTTTATATTAAGAAATTAATATAACTGGTCAGAATTACCTTACAAGAGTACAAAGCCCATATAGAAATAGCTCTCACAATCGATCTGAATTCTGATTTTTTTTTCTTTTGGCCCACCATTTTGCTTTAAGTCCTTTGTTTTGCTACCTTTGAAGCATTTACTGTTCTGTGAATATAGACTAGACATGTCCTCAAATAATGACCTGTTATTGCAATATAAGCAGAATTCTATGCTATGAAATTTGAACCTACTATAAAGGCAATCAAGGTTTGAGGCATGTACATAACTTTGTTAAAAACTCTGGTCCTTTAATGTTATGAAACAGAAAAATAGACCCAAAGGGCTAGGTAAGTCAAACGATAATTTGTTGCTATGATTTTTAAATGCTTCAAGCTAACCTCTATTCAACATATTTATTTAAATAGGAGTAAAAGGGGGATCCCCTGGAAATGAGTTACCATTTGGTTAAATCTTAAGTGTGTTTGGATATAGAAATTCATGCACAACCTAAGGCTTGAAATCCTGTACAATTAGCCAGCCTTGTTGCCTGTGGAAATGGCTGGCATGATGCTTTTTAGTGCCATGATTGAGAAAATTTCTAATCAAGTTCCACCTGTATCCAGAAAAAAATTCAGAAATCCCAGTCATGTGACTTAAAAACACATCACCTAGATTCTCTTTAACATTATAAAATAAATAACACTTAGAATATTCAATTAGTGAGATAGGTTACCTATCAATCCCTCAACATGTTATGTTACAGCCTAGACATTTCTGAAAAGTTTGTGTTTAAAGCTCATTTATTGAATACTGATGAAAAAATATAAAAAGAGAAATACCATGATTTACCTAGCCAGAAGAAGGTACCTTTTAACATAATTTATGGTGCTACACCTTAAATGTTCATGAGATTAAAAGCTTATGATCCTAACTTCCACCCAGTTAGTAGATATTTCCCCTTAGGAATACGTTCCTCTCATAGCTTTGTGCTTTACTTAAAGCTTTTAAATTATAGCTTCTGTGGATAATGTCAACAATCTTTTCAAATCTGACTCAGTTAAGTTTCTAAGAAGTAGAAAATAACGTTATAAATGGAGAAGACATCATCAATTTATAACCCTGTGTGTAGGTGCTGTGAATTCTATGCAAAAATGTAAAAAGAGGTGATTAGGCAAAATTATGTTTTCAATCTCACCTGTTTTTAGGATCATCTGTAAAAAAGTGGATGGTAGAGAAAGGGATATGATTTATTCCCTAGACTAATGTATAATATAAGATGTCATCACTTAAGTCACTGTCATAAATTATTAGAGTACTTTTTCACAAACGCTTTGAACATTAGTGACCCCACATGTAAAAATGACCCATTCATGTAACTTTGAAAATTCTACCTAAGTGGATTAGTTGAAATAACATGATCTTGATGCTTTCTTCATTTCTAAGTTCATGAGAAAAAGCCAGAAAAGCATATTCCCACAGTACTTCTTATGCCTGTTTAAAGAAAACCTACAATTTTAAGGAGAGAGGAAGACAAACACAGAAGAGCTCCATATATTCTGTATAAAGTTTGTGGTCTCAGTATTTGAGGTTCATAAAAAGGTTTAAAGGATTATCCAGCACTTCCGTTTGAACTGTTATGCCAGATTTCTGTTTTGGTGTCTCTGGCTTGCTCATAGCATATATGATGCAATAATTTCTTATTTTTCCCTCTGTTTTTCTGAAATCAACCATCCAATTGAATTTTTCAGGTTGCTGAATATTTTATTAAATCTGTAACAGTCAGGAATTCTACTTATAGCTAATGCTGCCTTTCACTCAACTTATGGGTAATTCATAAATACTGATGCATGATGCATGACATTTCATTCACAGGTAATTTTATGCATTTGGTAAGGTACATCTTATAGGAAAATCATGCATATTAAAAGAAATTTTATTATCAGTTTAACTACATTAATATGTCACATTCCTTTCTTTCATAGGCTGCCAAAATGGCAAATTATGCCAAGTTTCAGAAAATGTGCGATCTCCTGTTTCTTATGTTTGCCATGGTTTTTATCACCACACGACTGGGTATATTTCCTCTCTGGTGAGTATGCCAGTCTTCTTCCTGATAGAACTGCCGTTTCCAAATAAGCTTTATGAACCATTTTCCTTTTGAATTTTACCATAAGTACTTAGAAGTTTAAATAATTGGGCAGGGGAGTACCTCAAGAAACAGCTTGATTTCTTCTTCCAGCAGAGGGTTACACTCTTTACTAATGTTTTCTACGGGATAGTTAGAAAATGATGTGGCTTGCAGGGGTTCTGAGGCCACAGAAAGCCAACTGTCATAGAAGGCACCAGTCTAGAATATGACTCAAGAACCTCAGCCATGAAAGTTGGAATTAAGAAAGAAACCATGGTGTTGCAAACAAGTAGGTGAAGGAACTTTCTGTACCAGTGCTTCACAAAGGGTTGTCCCTGGACCACCAGCAGCAGCATCACCTGAGAACCTGTTGGAAATGCACATTATTGGCCCCACCCAAGACTCTCTGAGTGAGTAACTCTGGAGATGAGTCCTGGCAATGTGTTAATAAGCTTTCCTGATGATTCTGCTGCATCTTAAAGTTTGAAAACCATTGTCCTAAATAAGTCTTCTCATTAGCTATACACCATTCTAACCAAATAGTCTTTGAATTATATCCAAAGTCTCGTCCAGCTTTGTGTTACTTGGCAAATATACCTTTCATGCTTCTTCCAACTTACTGAAGAAAAATGGTGACCAAGAGGGATTCCTGTTCCATGTTGACCAAGAGGGATTCCTGATCCCCCCCTGAAGAATTTCTTTAGGTGGACTTCAGTCCCCCAAACACCAGTCTTCCTGTATGATTTTTCTACTTGTGACTATGCCTTCTGTTAGATCACCATGCCTGCTATTTCCCTACCTTGTTTGAGGTATAAAAGACCTCTGTCAAATGTCTTAAGGAATTCAGGATTTATTTTGTTGTTTGAGTCACTCCCTGCACAGATAGAGGAAGGATCAGAAAAAGAATGTGAAGTCAGGTTTTAGAAAACCTTTGCTGACTCCTGGGTCTTCATTCTAAGTACTTGCCCCCATCTGTGTGATTAGCCATCTACAACGGTAAGCTTACCAGCCTAGAATATCCATTCTTTGCCTTCTCTATATTGTTTAGGTGTGGACTTTAAAATTCCAATTAACTACCATTTTTTGTATGTATTTAGTGAAAATTTACTGGGCATTTATTGCATCACCATTACTGGGATGGTACTGGTAATGCTGATAATTCAGTTGGACATAGGGCTGCCCTTGGGGCACTTGCAGTTGAATTCCTACAGTTCCTTCTAATATTCTTGTTTATAATTTGGAGTATGGGATGGGGAAGGCCAGAGATTATAATTTTTTTCCAAACATTTACTGGACATAGGTAATGTAGATGGATTATCAATATTTAAATAGTTTTGTTGGATTTGCTGAGGAGCTCTGTTGGCTAATTTATTCATTATAGCAAATAGATTTTGCATGTGAAATAGTGACTCACCTGTGTAGGGTAAGGTAATGGAGGTAGATTAGACATTAGTTTTAAGAAACATTTCATAGACCTATTTCTTTTTCAAAGACTGTGCTTGAGGTAGAAGAAGAAACAAAATTATTTCCCCTCCCCTACATTCCTTTTTGTTTTTAACCCATTGCTGTGGATTCACCAACAATACCTTCCAGATTCCTCTTGCCTATATTTGAGTTCCTCATGAGTCAGAATATTGGTAATTGATGAGTTTAGTAACTCTTTGGCTTATTCTCTATTATGTCGGCAACCCATGCTCTTCAAAGACAGCATACACCATGATTAGCCTTTTAGAACCATGCACTGCTCCTCCAGACTTCTCTTTCAATCATAATACATCCTTCTAGAACAACCTTGTCCAACAGAAATATAATGCAGGCTTTATAGTAATTTAATATTTTCTAGTAGCCATACTAAAAGCTTTTTTTTTTTTTAAGATGAAAGGTGATATCCATTTAAATAACATATTTAACTTAGTATCTTCTAAATAGTATTTTTTTTTAAGACAGAGTCTCACTCTGTCACCCAGGTTGGAGTGCAGTGGCACAATCTCGGCCCACTGCAGTCTCTGCCTCCCAGGTTCGAGTGATTCTCTTGCCTCAGCCTCCCAAGTATCTGGGACTACAAGCACACACCACTACGCTAAGTCTAATTTTTGTACTTTTTTTTTTTTTAGTAGAGACAGGGTTTCACCATGTTGGCTAGAGTGGTCTCAAACTCCTGACCTTGTGATCCACCAACTTTGGCCTCCCAAAGTGCTGGGATTACCGGGATGAGCTGCTATGCCTGGCCCAAAATACTATTTTAACGTTATCAACACATTAATATTAAGATGTTTTGGGTATCTACATTGTTTTAATGTATATTAAATCTTTGAAATTTGATGTGTATTTCACATTACCACACATCTAGATTTAGTTTAGCTACGTTTCAAGTGCTCAGTAGCTCATGTGGCTAGCATATTGGACAGTATAGTTCCAGAAAAGAACAACTATCACAGTCTTTGACAGTGACCAGATTATACAGGTTTTTCTGGTGTCAGAGTATCTTGGTTGACATTCTTAAGTCTGTTGTTTGCTACGATCGTTCGAGTCAGGATAGCATAGCGGTTAGCTGGGACAGTTGGACTAGAGTGCATGGGTTCAAATCCTGCCTCACTGCTAAACACCTTTGTGCTGAAGTTTCCTCATCTCTTAAATAGGAATAATGATGATGCCCACTCATAGCATTATTGTAACTATTAAATGAGTTTGTGTCTCTATAGAGCTAAGAAACATGCCAGCCTCATAGTAATTGCTATGTAAGTATTGGCTTGTTAAGTGAGGATATTTATTTAATATGAAAAGAGACACCTCTTAGGAAATGAGTAAGAAAAAAAGACTCAATAGAAGTATTTGGCATGGCTCTGAATAGGTACAGTTCAGAAAAATATAAATGACAAAATTATAGAATGATTTAACTCTACCATAAATAAAGAAAATAAATTGTAGCTTCTGAAAATACAGTCATGTACTATATAGCTAGACTTCCTGGCCAGTGATGGACCACATATATAACAGCAGTCCTACAAGATTATAATGGACCTAAATAATTTCTATGACAACATCATAGCACAATGCATTCATTACTGATGTATTTATGTTGATGTTGCTGTACACAAACCTATTGCACTGCCAGTCACTCCTCATTCTTCCCTCCTCCCATCCCCTGGCCACCATTAACCTGCTTTCTGTCTCTGTGAACTTACCTATTGTGGTCATTTTATGTAAATGGTTTCATGCAATAGGTGATCTTTTATAACTGAGTTCTTTCAGTTTCCTGATGTTTTCAAGGTTTATCCATGTTGTAGCATGTATCAGTACTTAATTCCTTCTTATTGATGATTAATATTTTATTGTATGGATATACCACATTTTATCCATTCATCAGGTGACAGACTTTAGGACTGTTTCCACTGTTTGGCTGTTGTGAATAATGCTGCTATTAATGTTTGCATTACAAGCTGTTGTGTGAACACACATTTTCAGTCTTCATAGGCATATGCTTAGGAATGGAATTGCTGGATTACATGGTAACTCTCTAACTTCTTGAAGAACTACCAGATATCTTCTTTCTTTCTTTCCTTTCTTCCTTTCTTTCCTTTCTTTCTTTCCTTCTTTCCTTCCTTTCTTTTTTGACAGGGTCTTGCTCTGTTGGCCAGGCTGGGCTGCAGTGGTGCCATCATAGCTTATTGCAGGCTCGAACTCCTGGGCTCAAGTGGTTCTCCTGCCCCAGCCTCTCGTGTAACTAGGACTCCAGGTGCGTGCCGCAACACCCAGCCGATTTATTTATTTATTTGTAGAGATAGGGTCTCACTATGTTGCCTAGGCTAGTCTTGAACTCCTGGCCTCAAGAGATCCTCCAGCCTAGGCTTCCCAAAGTGCAGGTATTACAGCCACTGCACCCAGCCCATCAAACTCTTTTACAAAGTTGCAGCACCATTTTACATCTGACCAGCAATATATGAGAGTTTTGCTTTCTCCACTTCCTTGCCAATGCTTTTTATTATCTTTTATATTGTATTGATTTTAGTGGGTATTAAGTAGTATTTATGGTAGTTTTGATTTGCATTTCAAATCCTTTACCCATTTGTAATGTATTTTTTAATCATTGTAAAAATTTGTTACGTATGATTATATATCTGAATGATGAATATAGTAATATATTTGTATAAACAACTTATCTGATACATAATTTGCAAATAATTTCTCCCTTACTGAGGGTTGTCTTTTCACTTCCTTGATGATGTCCTTTGAAGCACAAAAGCTTTTAGATTTGATAAAGTTTGTCTGTTTTTTCTTTTGTCACTTGTATTTTTGATGTCATAAGAAACCATTGTCAAATCCAAGATCATGAAGATTTATTGCTATTTTTTTTTCCTAAGAGTTTTCTAGTTATAGCTCTTCCATTTAGGCCTATGCCCTGTTAAGGGGTGATTTTTGTTTATGGTGGGAGGTAGGTATCCAAGTTCATTCTTGCATGTGTGGATATTCAGTCATCCCCACACCATTTCTTGATTGACGATTGCTATTATTATGATCATCTTCAGCACACAACTCCCAGTGAAGCAAACTTGTGTTTGTCGCCATCCTCATTTACTGCCCTTTACTGGCTTTAATTCGTTTCCACCTTTTGGAATCACACTATATTTTATCTGTGGCCTGTTTGCTAGGTTGACTCATTTGTCCTGCCTGAGAATTCTTCATCCTATCTAATAAGCCAGGAGGTGAGACACGTTTGCACAGCCCTTTCCTCTTCCCTCCAAGCTGGGATGCTATCCAAGGGAGTGTTAATTACTTCTGTCCAGAGGACATCTGGGATGCAGCCCTCCCATACACAGGTCACCAAAACTGATCTTTCCACTGTTCCTTCCTGATGGTATCACTGTCCTCTGTGGCTTCCCTGTGTAGATAGTCCAGCCATTGCCTGGCCTTGCTGTTCCCAGGACATGACTTACCCCAGAAAGTGCAATTTTTATATCCAC